CAGGGGGCATATAGTTCTGAAGAGATGAAGGAAGGTAAGAGTAGAAGTTAGTAAAATGGATGTCTTGGGTTTAGTAAAGAATGAACTTGACTTAGGAAACTGCGTGAGCAATTCTTAGTTTTCTCTCTCTTCTCTTTTTTTTGGGGGGGCGGGGGGCATGTCTGGCAGGTACGATGATCCAAATCCATGACCTTGGGGTTATAAGGCTGTACTCTAACTGAGCTAACTGGCCAGCCCAATTCTTAGTTTTATTGGTAATCCACTGCACCTGTTTTACAAAACAATTAGTTGCATTATATCAAGAAGTAAGAAATTGAGCAATAAGCATTAAAATCAACCAATACACTTGTTTCATCCTTCAACTTAGTCAAAATAACAAATAGTTTTTTAAATCTCCATTTGTAGATTTGCAAAATTGCTATCTCTTTATCTTAATTTCTTGGAAAAGTGGTATTGTGTTCAAGATAGCCAAATTCACCTCTCCTTTAATCTTCTATTGNATTCAGAATGAGAGAGGGCTGTACATAGGAGACAGTCCAGGATCATGGAAAACATTTAGAGGAAAATTTGAAGAGAAATAAAGGAGAAACATGAGGCCAAGACAGTCAGTGGACACTGCAAGGAGCACAGCAAAAAGTATGGAGTGAGCAGATAGTTCAGGAAACATGAAGGTAGTTTATGGGATAAAACATATCTGTGTAAACAGAGCACAGAAATTGATGCAGAAAGCATTAGTAGTGGCAAAGACAAGGCACGATCTCAGACATGCAAAGAAATGGGTATATTCAAAATAATTTGCAACAGATTGAGAGTGAAACAAGCAGGTAAAACAGAAAAGCAGAAAGACTGAAAACTTGGCTTAACTTACAGAGATGGGGGAACATCAGTGACTGGAGAAAGATAAAGAAACATCAGGCCTGGAGCATACTATCAGGCAAAGAAGATCATGGGTAGTAGAGGTAAAAAGCAAAATAAAATAGACTAAGAAACAGATCATAGTCACTGAGGGATAGAAACAGTAGTTGGAGATGGGTACAGAGAGTCGGAATAGATGAAGAGATGGAAAGATAGGACTTGATAGGAAAGAGGGAGCCTCCAAAGCAGACCTTCCTGTGGAGGGCAGGACGGCGTCNGACTTGATAGGAAAGAGGGAGCCTCCAAAGCAGACCTTCCTGTGGAGGGCAGGACGGCGTCCCATCTCCTGGTCCACGCTGCTGTGAGGGAAGGAGTGCAATGCTGGTTGCAGCTGTCCAGGGACTGGAGTGGCCCCGGCTGCTTTTCCTCAGCTCTGGGAGGGGAGGCACATGATGGTGGGTGTTTGACAAAGGCTGTAGTGTGGGCCACCTGCCCTCAGACCCTGCCTGCTACCTCCTGCCTTTTCTCAGGCCTGGTGACAGGGAAGGACAGTCATTGGCACTTGCTGAGTCACAGCCTCATCCTCCCCATATCCCCCCAAGCTCATCCCATCAACCAGCAAGCCCAGCCCCAGGGCATTTATGGGCAGAAGTGATCCAGGCCCAAGTCAGAGTTTGGCTCTTTCCAGCCTACTCAGGTCCCCCCTGACCCCAACTGTTCCTGTCCCACCAAAGCTCCTAGCCAAGCCCCCAATAGCAGCAATTAGGGAGAGAATGAAAGATGTCCCTTCTGCATAGAGAAAGAAATGGCTCCATAGGTTTCACATTTGTCTTATTGATTGGAGAGAACAGAGCCCTTCCAGAAGGTACCACCACCATCTTCTGAGCAGCCATCCCCCCAGAGAGACCCATTCCACTGCTCCACTGCACTGGTCCCAGAATTTTTGGTTTTGGAGCTTTTGGAGGGAGCTTCACCCAGGACGCTCCCTCTGATCCCCATGTGGTCATCTCCATAGGGTGTGGGCAAGTGGGCTCACCCCACCAGCATGGGGGCCCCAGCTGATGGCAGCAGTAGGAGCCTCTGTCGAGGGCCCTGCCCATGAATCCTGCCTCTGATGGGAGACTGAGGAAGTGCACAGCCAGGAGGGTAGGCTGTGTCAGGTCATCCACCTGCCCAGGGGGCCCTGAAGGTTGAGTGGGGTTGGGAGGAATGCTGGGTAGGGAGAAAGGGCTTACTGTCACATGGCATCCCCACTCCAAAAGCCACTGCACTGACAGGAGTTGCTGTCTGTCTGGAGCTGGGGGGGCCCGGGTAGGGTCAGGATCAGGGTCAGGTGCAGCTTCCTGTTGACATTGCCGCCACCTTCTTGCCTTATTCATGGTGGAGGCCAGGGCTGGCCCAGGGCCCATGGGGAGCTTGTTCTGGCCATATATATGAATTTTCATTCTGAGAAAACCTTACTTTCCAACAAAATTTGTGTAGCAGGAAAGTTTTATGAATTCATATGCTGAAAGAAAGTTTAAATAAAGGAAAAGCCCACATTAAAAAGAAAACAAACCCCAATTTCCAAATGTGTCTCATAGTGCAGGGGGTGTGTGTTTGTCCACTCTCTGGACCACTCTGCCTGTCTGAGTGAGCTTCTGTAGCAATTAAAACACACCCCTGGATCTTGTGCCACAGAAGGTTAAAGTCACATATGCTCTGTGGCCAGGGGGATGGTCACCTGAAGAATGGCTGCTTCAGAGGTAGCCGCTTGAGATGGAGCAGTCCAGCCAAGCACCTGTAGTCCAGGTAGGATAGCATAGTCCCTTTGGCAAGTGAATTGTGTTTTCAGTTCACAGGGAAGAGGTCCTGGGGTTGTGTGTGACAGATAAGCACATAGGCTGTTTCTAGGACTGTAGTGTGCTTTCCCAAACTGTACATCATTGGTGTTGCAGAATTTCAGGAAATGTGGCAACTAGACAGTGTAATGTTGGGCCAGGTCCCTACCCAGGTGCACAGTGTTCTGTGTGCAGAGAGCGCTGGGTCTGTGTCCCACACCCGCTTCGGCCTGTCCTCCCCAAGCAGGCCATGACTGTCTTGCACTAGAGCTGCTCTAGTCTCTCAGGAATTTCTTCTTTATTTTTACTATGTAAATAAAGCTTCCTGGTTTGATACCTGCCCTGCCCCCCAAAAAGAAAGACTAGTTCATACAGAGGGATATGATTTACTCAGTGAGGGGCAGTAAAAGAACATTAATTCTAAGTTGAGGTCTGACATTATAGAATACTTTTTCCATGGTCAGCACACAAAAGAAAGGAAAAAGCACACAGAACCAGTTTTGATTATTCTGGGTTGAGTTGAGAAAATATTTTTAAAAATACAGTCTGTTTTATTTTATTTTATTATTTTATTTTTGTCCTTTTTGAGACCGGCCTTACCGCGCTCAGCCAGTGAGCGCTGTGAGTGCACCGATCATCCCTATATAGGATCCGAACCCACGGCGGGAGCGCTGCTGCGCTCCCAGCGCCACACTCTCGCGAGTGCGCCACGGGCTCAGCCCTGTTTTTGTTTTTTAAACAAAATACTCATGAAAGATATTACTGAGAGAGAGTTTTGCCAGACTAGTAGTATCTGTAAGTGGATTATATCACCATATCATTCTCCCTTCTCCCAAGTAGATTTATTAAAGTATATTAAGCTATAAAACCTCAGTCATTTATATACGCCAAAGGATCCAGTGGTTAAGGAACTTAAATACAAGTATGATGTGCTGTTCTAACCCATGTAGCTTTCACCCTGAGGTATAGAAGAAGTTTCTCAGAATTATTAAAGCATGTGCGCATGATTGCTAGATAGTATTTATTTGTAATACTTAAGTAACTACCTCCCCAGCTGCCCTTATTTTCTAACACCAAGACTATTTTTCTTCTTCCTGTTCTCTAATCTTTTTATATAGCAAGGACCGTGCAGCAAATACTGCTGGAACTGCTGGCCTGGCNCTCTAATCTTTTTATATAGCAAGGACCGTGCAGCAAATACTGCTGGAACTGCTGGCCTGGCAGGTGGGCACCACCGGGAAGCATGGACCACCAAAGGTCCCTCCTATGAGGACTTATACACTCAGAATGTTGTAATTAACATGGATGACCAAGAAGATCTTCATCGAGCCTCACTGGAGGGGAAATCTGCCAAAGAGAGACCCATTTGGTTGAGAGAGAGCACTGTCCAGGGGGCATATAGTTCTGAAGAGATGAAGGAAGGTAAGAGTAGAAGTTAGTAAAATGGAT